GCACTAGAGCTCAGTGGACAATTTGAGAAATGCACAGTGTCAGGAGGAATGGAGCCCTGGTTGAAGATGATGCAGTCCTATGCAGAAGCTCCTAGTTTGTAAACTTGAAGTTGTAAGACTTCATATGCATCTGGAATACAAATGTTTGACAATCTCTAGGGGAAATATTCCTGGTTTAAGTATTTTACTTTGAATTTAGGGGCAAATGAAGTCTTACTCCAGACATGTGCATGGAGATAAATAAAACAACTTTATTGTCTTCTTGGAATCTCAAGATACTGTTAAAGTCTCGGTCTTTAAAATCATTGCATGTACTTCAGCTGTCCTTAGGTGAATCTCTGAAGAAATCTAATGCTCCTAAGAGTCAGGGATTAATATTCAAAATTAAATATGATATGCTCTAGGAAAATGACTTAATCCTTGCACTGTAAAATAAAACCAGATAAACAGTAGATTTGGAAAGCAACTGTGCAGTCCCTTTTTATTTTACAATAATGACACCTATCTACACTCCTATTTGCACTTAAGGATAGTGTCTACCCTGCTGCGTACTAGACTGTTTCTGCCAGCTACAGGCACACAACTTATTTAAGCATTTATACCTGCGTAACAGTTATTGGAACTCCAGAGGTGGAGTAGAAAAACAAACAACTCTTCATATGAGATATGACTGAATAAATATATTATGTGACAGTTTAAGGGATATCATTTTTAAAAATAAGGTATATAACAATACCTAGTTATTAACTGGGAAATACATAGAAAAGATGCGTTAGAGAGAGACTATTTGCAAGCTTGATTTTCAAAAAGAAAAGTTAGCTGAGCGCACAACTGTCTTGGCAATCTTGTCTAGTTTTTATGAGACAGAAGACTGGGTCACTAATACATGCTACGTGCAATTCACCCAGGAGTTATTTAAGTATGGCTGTACTGAGGCATACCAAACTCCATGCAACTCAACATCCTGTGCCCAAAGGAAGATGCCCAGAGAATATCCTGTGGGATAAAGGATTATTGTTTAAAGGCCTTCAAGGCTTTACAGCATAGAAGAGCTGTGGAAAACACTTTTTTCTTCCCAACTGCTCTTAATCTAACTCGTCATGCTTGTTACTGCCTGCCAAGATAGGAAGTATCAATATCCAGACTGATCTGTAAGGGAAGAGCAAGGGAACTTTATTAAGAAAAAGGAACACTTGTGTAAGAAGATGGAAGTTACCAACACCCCAGCAGCTAGCAGATATTTTTTTAAGCAAATCTTCTGAATGGAGATTACTAGCAAATGTCCAGAATTATGTCTGTGGAAGACACAACAAGCAGGCATGTAAACAAAGTTGTGTGGTTTATCTGTTCTGGAAAATTTCTTGTGTAAGTCTACATGATTCATGGGGAAAAAAATATTATTAAAAGATTAGTGGTCCTTCTGGTCACTACAGCTAGCTTCAATAATTTCACATATTTTGAATTTAGCAAATTATTACAACTGACTGGGCAAAATGAAAATGCTTTGCTCTCTAAGCAAATTAAAGTAACTTTTGGAAAATTGAATCACTATTTCCAAGTGATACTCTGACAGAATATGTCAAGAAAATGTGCCTACTGATGGGTCTCATTATTGGAAATCCAATTTGCACATTTTATAGTCAGGATTTGTTAGAATATGTTGGAAGTATTTCTTTTTAGTGAGAGGTAATTTGGGCAGGTTTTGCTTCAATTATTCTGGGATTCTTTGTGAGCAAAGTATTACCCTGCCAGGGATGTTTTATCAACGTACCCCCAGACAACCTAACAGTATACTAATACAACAGATATCCAGAGCTGGACTCTTTTGCGCCCTCTTGTTTCAGAGCTGTTCTAGTTCTTCCCTGCGCTTTCCAGCGTCATTCAGTATCTAACAGTCTCTCCACCAGTCCTCGCTGTTTACTTTTTGAGCAGTGGAGATCACTGGTCCACTTCCTCCTTTACTCCTCTTCTAGATTCCAAATTTCCACCTCCGTGCAATTTAAAAAACAATGGACAAATCCGTCTGTTGCCTCCAGACACAATCTTGGTAGCGTGCTACGGTCACAATGTAGCTTCTGTTCTGCTTACAGCTCTGTCCAGCTTCATATACGCCATACAGTAATAGTCACCCGGGTCACTCTTAAGAGCTATAGTTAGGATAACTTGAAATGTAAAGGCCACAGAAAATTTCCATGTCTATGTCAACACTCTAACTGTTCTCTTGTCACTGCTTATGCTGTATGTGCTGCCGTGGACTGCTTCTCCATCTCTCTAATAACCTTCTGTATATCAGATGAAGCCAAGCGCCAGAGGAGATGGGAATCTAGATGGTGTGATGCTATTACACCCTCCATTCTGTGCAAGAGCAGAGCAGCATGCACTCTTAAAACCCCTTAAAGAACTGAAGACTGCTTGTTTTTTTTCCAGTCAATACATACACTTGACATAGTGCTGAGGGATATGGTGTAGTTGAGAACGGTCAGTGTGAGGTTAATGGTTGGACTAGAGGATCTTCAAGGTCTTTTCCAACCTAGATGATTCTGTGAATACCCTGATACAGCATTCTTAGATCATTGCCTTTTTGCCCCATCAAAAAAGAGTTTTTACTGGACATTTGTTCAACAATTGACCAGTTATGGCAGTTGGTGTTATCCTCTTTCTTTATATGCTTCCTTTCAGTCACACACCTTCAAAAATACATACATAAAGAACTGAAGATAAATCTTCATATTTTTTTTTTCTTGGTCAGTGCCAAGAACAGGTACAGTTAATGCTACGCCAGTTATGAAACAGCAGTTGCTGTACATGAAAACATTTGTCCTATGGAATTTGATAGGCATTTGTTTTATCACAATGCCTAGAGACCATAAGTTACAGGAACAGAGCCGGACACATTCTTTGTCCCTATGCCCCTATCTAAATCAATCCATAGCCCCATGGACCCCCCTTTTAAAACAGAGGAGTTAAATATTTAAGAAAAGGATTGTGTGTGTGCCTGAATATACACTTTTTAGCTCAACAACAAGAAATGTCAAATGAAACTAACGGGCCAAAAAGTTGGTAAAACTTTCAGCGTATGTATAATATGTAGGTCAAAATCCCAATTCTTGTAGATTTGAACTGGAAGAATGATCACATGTGCCAACATTTCTGAAAGTTGTCTCCAGATGACAAAAGTGGCTAAATCATTTTCCCTAACTCCACCTCTAGTTCATAGCCTGCCAAATGCTCTTACCAAGCCTTATGGGACGATAGGATTCCTCAGAGAAACCTGGCGAATCTTAGTGACATTATAAAGAAAACAGACACAAAAGACCCTGAACTGGAAAGCCAGTGTAGACAGAAAAGGTATGGAAACATCATCATTTAAAGAAAAAAAATGAAGGAAATCTAGTAAAGGAGGTTTGTTTTGGTTGTAATGAAACGAGATTGTATCTAACCATTTTGTGGATTTGGAATGCAAAAACTATGTAAGCAAGATTTTGCCAAGGTTTGTTGTTTGGTTTTTTTTTTAAATGACTTCTCTGTAATAACTGATTAAAGTAAATCATGCTGTAGCTTCTTTATTGAGCTGCCTCAGACTTAATGAAAACACAGCACGAAAGGCTATTATACAAGGGCTTTTTCTGAATTCTCCAGCAGTCTAAAATAGTTAGGGATATGATTCCAGACTATAGGTTACTTTCTTACACTACCTAAAATATATTCTTACTGTCAGAGACAGAGTTCAAGGATTTTCCCCTGTTCCTTTAATGAGCTTTTGCTCATTTTTGAAACTCCAAACAAATCCAATAACTCAATTAAATATGGGATGTGTTCCCACATTTGACAGAAGAAACTAGTACATGTTTTGAAGCAAGTTGGACAAATATTTTATCTCTCAAAATACAAGATGGGGAAAACTTCCAAGCCAAAGGAAATGACACACCCAGATGGAGGGCCAAGTTTTTTATGTTGGGTTGTTCCTTATTGTCAATTTTGTCTGTATGGGGTTACTTGCAATCCTCTTCCATTAACCGCAGAAGTATGGCAAGATTGCCATCACTATTAATTTTCTAGCTAGGACAGTAAACCCATCCATCTGTGTAAACTAACCATTTATTAACAACCAGACAAAATGTCAGGGAACAAATATAACATCTTGTTTAGGAAAGATGATCAGTTAGGGAAGCAATAGACAATTTGTATGTTCTTGTGTAAGAAAGTCAAACTGTTTTTATGAAACGATAAAACTTGTTTCTCTTAATTATTTTCAGCATAGCAAAAGAGAGTGCTAGTTTTGCTGCTCTGGAGAGTTTAGTGGGCCAGTAAGTTTACTCATTCATTACTATTCCTTGACATGAAGCCATCTAAGTAGAACTGTACAACTTGGCAGCCTGAAGCCAGCCGTGCTACACCCTCATTCCCAGCAAGAACCCATCAAACATGACATCCTCAAGAGTTTCAAAACTGTGTGAAGTTGCATACTGGTACATGTGTTGGTATGATCATACAACACGCTGGCTCTTATCCCTCTACTATTACCAGCATTTCCACTGACTCAAAATGAAAAAAGAAGGGGCCAAGTTTTCCCCTTCCTCAAACTTTCCTGCCATTAAAAGAGATTCACAGGAAACAGAACCCTTAAACCTTTCTTGCAGTTTGACTGTTTTTAGGTGTTCTAAATTCAAACTTTTTAATTCAGAAGGACCATCTCTCCTACAGGAGCCACACTATCCTCTTTTATGTCTGGGTGGAGTAGTGAGCACCTGCATCACACAGAGACTGAATCACCAACTCTTGTCCTGTAAAGACCAGAGTGCATTATTATCCTATTACAGCTTGGATGGTTATTTAAAAAGTTATTCAGTACTATGTCACTTTGGGCTTCCAGTTCATTCTCTTGCAGATACAAGTACCAGATTTATTTCAGTTTAGAATAAAAAAAGATAGGCTTTTTTCTAACTCATAACCTCACCCCCCAACTCTACTTGGGGTTCTTTCTGCTTCATCAACAACAATTAAGATTCTTCAGACCAGTTTATGCTCTGAGTTATACTTGCACAAACCTTTTGCCTTCAAAACATCTTACTAACAACTGTATGTCCCAGATAGCCTTTAGAAGTTTGTCACAGGTGATGTCATGGGCAGAGTAAAGGCTGAGGATGCTGCTGAGTAAAATGCAGAGTGCAAGATGAAGCTGTGAGGCTCTCTGGAAAGAAAAAAAAGCATGTTAATATGAATTAAGTGAGAAAAATGAAATGCCAAATCTCAAATGTTATTATGAGGGTTACTTTACAGAACAAAAATGTGGTCTAAAAGTGCACTAAGGAATAAAACCCTTGCTATACATCAAGTAGCAGAGAAATGAGGTATGAAGTACGAATAATGCAAAGGCTTTGGAACAGCAAATGTCAGAATTTTCAGATATTAATAAAAGTGGAAAGTGTGGACACACAAGGAGAAGTGCAAGTTAGAACTGACCAGACAGAGAGGCACTGCTGTCTTATGTGGAGACTGATTTACAGTTTAGCTTCTAAAATGTGAAGGAGATTAAATGCCAGTTTATTGTCACACAAAAATAAATTACTTTCTGAAACTGCACTAAAATCCTATTACCTTACCATTCTTAGTATCTTTAACCTAAACATGAATTAAAACCTATAAACTTTAAACTCCAAAGACTATTTAGTCTTATTTTTTTAAATTAAAATAACAAACATAAAGGAAGAACATGCTAGCAGATAAAGCAATGACTAATAATTCACATTCTCAAAGTCATTTCTGAAACATGCCTTTTAAAACACATCCAAGAACAATTCAAGCTATGAAAACTGCAGCAGATGTTATGCAGGGAAAGAACAGCATACTGCCAGTCTAGGTAAAATGATCCGATACCTAGCGAAACAGAAAGAAGCAGAATCTACTAGTCATTTGTAGAACAGGTAAGGAGAGGGAGATTAATTTTCTTTGGCTCAAGAAGAAAGTCCACTATAAAGAATCAATGCAAATGAGGTCTCTGAACTAAAACATCTAAGAAAGAACCTCTTTCCTCTATGTTCTCAGCCCAGTGATGTATGTTATCCTGTGATTTGATTTGCACTAAGGAAGATCTGGGCAGCAGGGTCTTGGTTCAACACCATTCAAGCCTCAGTGCCAATGAAATAGTGCTCAATACCGATAGCCAGAATGTGTTCAATAATTTGTGGAGAGAGAAAAAAGTACAGAGGGAAAAGGAGGAGCTCTTAAAGAAACACTGCTATCAAGCCTTCTGGAATTTTAGCCAAACCCAATTTGTAAAGATAGATTTCTGTGCAGGGAATGGTGAAATTTGCTAGTCTGCAACATCCAGGGGTCTGAGGTATGCGGGGAATACAACTTGTACCCTCTAAAACATATGATTTTGTTCTGAAAAAACTGTCCACAGAGCAATGTATCAGGCTGTACTCCCATCTGCTCCTTAGTCTCTCTGCTGAGACTACTGTCAAGTGTACCAAGTAGGTCAGTTTAGACAGTCTAGTTGTAACTTGGACTCTTTTCAGCCTAGAAGTGGATTTAGATCATTGGTTATCATTGCAGCTCTTGAACCTCTTGGAAAGTTGGACATGAAGCTAAATACACAGATTCTTATTATCCCAGTTAATGCATAAACCTGGAACCCTACAAAATCTTTATTTGCAGACTAATCCTCTGCAGCATTTAATCCCTCAAAGACAATTTTTTGACCTCCTTTCTCCATTGATTATTTCCTATTTGCCTTTCCGTATGCTCTTTAGCCCACCTTTTGCTCACTTCATGCCTGGAAAAGCTCTATGAAATCCCATTTTCAACCCCTCACATCAGTGCATTTGTGAGAAGGATACACAGAGCTTGCAGTTCACTTCAGCACAATATTACCCAAGAAAATGCAGCCTACGCAGCAAAAAAAACAGTCAGAGGCTCTTCCTAATGGAACTTTGTATTTTAGGCTATGTTCAGTGCTCCCCATTGTCCTAGATAGTCAACTATGTCTCTTTATGCCCTAATTATTTCTAAACTTAGGTCTGAATCCTCTTACTTATTTGAACAGAAGACAGATGCCTAAACACCTTTTTTAGAATCTAGGTCTGGCTTTAAGACTTCATTCTTCAATTTTTGTGACCAAACCGCAAACTTCATCAACCTTTTTCGTATCACATACATTATCCATTTACCTGTCTTCATAAAAGGATCTCTTATCTCCAGCTTCCAAATCCATGAGTAAATGACCATCTAGTTAGTCAGGATAACTTCATCTTACCATCTGTGATTCAGAAAGCCTCAGTATAAAAGGTATTTGCACTTCTCTAACTGCTCCTCTCCCCATGCTTCAACGATGAAACGAATCGCAACAGCAGACAGGATTTTGGGTTGTGTTCTTGGTCTTATGTCTAATACCAAGTGTGGTTTTTTAGTCTCATTTTCAGCCTGTAGACAGTGTAGTGTAGTGATATGAATGTGAAAAGTCTGGCATAGCGGTTTCTGTTCATTCTAATGAAAGATGTTATGCATGTTCAAGATATTTCAGTTTCATAAAAATAAGTACATGTATGTTCCCTCCTTACTTTGTTGGATCAGAAGTGTCCCAATGACTTCTAACCTCTACAGGTTCAAGTAATCAAACACAATTTTGTAAGTAGGCCCTGTAGATTCATGAGGTACAAACAGCAAAGACTGGGCAGGTCAGAACAGCACTGTTGGCTTATTCCATAAATTTAAGTGGATATACTGAACCTACCTTAAGAAAACTGAAGAGTTTAGAAGTCAGAATGGTAATTTGAATCCTCACATGGTAATTTGATTCTTCCACATGGAAGTGCTACACAAACAGAAAAATTCTCCAGCATTTTTTTGTAATTTTACCATTGGATTTTCAAAAACACAAAAAGAAATTATCATTTTGGATTACAGCAAATAACTGTCTTCCCATGTAGAAAATTATTGATTTAGCACGGAAAAGCGTAAACTGAATACAGTATGAAAAACTGATATTGAATGCATACATGGAACAAAAAAATAAAGATATACTATTTTAATGTGAGTGTATTTATAATAAAGGTGTTAAAAATTATAGATTAAGAGCCCGTTAAATCTAGTAGGTAATTCAAAATGCTACTTCTTTAATCACTACAGCTAAAGCTTTATCTCAGATACTGACACCACACCGTATAAAGACTGTGTATCTATATAAAATAATAAGTTTGTTTACAGCCAAACTCATAGGAACATTTCCTCCTCTTATGTTTGTATTGCATACAGTTAGAGCATTGAAATAAACAGCAATACCCAAACCGTGGTCTTGCTTTGACACTCACCAATTTTGTTGTGAGTCTGGATAAGAAGTTTAAGCGCTCTGCCAATGCATCCTTATCGGTAAAATATATTTTGTCTTGACTGCTGAGAAATGCAGTGGAATAATGCAGATTTATGCCAGTTCCACTAAGTACACAGTTGAGGTACTAATTAAGAGACCCAATCCCACACAAGCCTAAAATTATGACATTTTATAAAATATTTCATTTAAATCCAGGAGTTAAACTGACTTCAAATTTGATATATGGGGGTGGAATGAAAGATGTCAAAATTGAAATGACTGAGGCACAGACTCAAAACTGAGAAAAAGATAAAGAGAGAAAGGAGAGAGAGGACAGAACAGTGTAGCATATATTACAATCTCTGTATTTATTTCTGGAATAAAAAAGAAAACAACACCTATTGTTGCGATGGAATTTTTTCAGAAGAGATACCCCTTTCCCTGAGATGCAAGACAAATTAATGTAATGAAGCACTATTTCCTACATACATCACTGTATCTCTTGTTCTTAGACTCTGGGAAATGGAGAAACTAATTGTATGAAGCACACATTATCTAAATAAAAGTTACCATCTTTTCAATTTTTTTCTATTTATTCTTGTTTCTATCTTTTAATTTCCTTACTCCATTCTCCTTCCCTTTCTCCTAGTTTCCTTCAGTTGACTTTACATGTTTTTTTCTTTATTCTACTTTCTCTGCTTTTCTTTATTTAGAATAAAAGCCCTCGCATAGATGGATTTTTTTTTCCTTCTCATCTTTCCTGCAGCTTTTCAATTTCTCCATCTTCTTCTAGTTCCTCCTTCATTCCTGGGCTCTTTTCTACTGCCTATTCCCCACACCACTACAGAATCATGTTCTGTACTTGGTGACCTTACCTTCCTTCCCTGCAGCTACCACTTTTCTCTTTTAAACTATCGGCATGTTTCTAACTTTTTTTTTTCCTCTAGGGCTCACATGTTTCTCCCTTCCTTTGTATCATTTGTTTTGTTCGCCACACCCAAATTCAAATCTCTGTTCCACTTTCACCTCCTCCATTTTCCATGCTAGCCTCTTTTCTCTCTCCTTTTCTTTGCCACCAACTGCAAACATATCCCACTGTCTCCAGGTGCAAGAGGTGATGCTTCAGCAGCCAGTGCCTTCTGGCAGCTGGAGCTGGTTACAGATGTCTTTCCAACAGCTGTCCTCTGTCACTGACTCTGCCAGATGTCAATTCAGCTCACATTGCCATGGCCACGGCCATTAGCCACCACAGAAGTGCTCTCTCACCATCACACACCCCACAATTTTCATCATTGCTCTAAGTCATAGGTTTCTCTTTTAACTGCTATGAAATATTATTAGATGTATTGGTCTCCTTAGTTCTGGCAATGCAGGTTTTCCTGTGTATGAACTAGCTGTGTAGTTAGATAGTCTGACTGTGCCCCACCTCCCATCTCCGAAGACCACAGTTACCAGTGGTCCAAAATACTGTTCTGTCACAGCTGTGTCTGCTGCTATCACGAGGTGCAACTCTACTAGGTTTCTTCCTAGTGCCACGATGAAGTGCAATCGGCTTCTTCCTGTGAAGCCAAATACTCCCTCTTCATACGAGGGATGCCCAGGATGGCACACGTGTCATGAATTTACACAATGAAAGATACTCTTTCATTCCCCCTTTCAACACTTAATAGATGAACAATATTTTTTAGCAGACTAAATAACACTAACAGGGCATTTAAAATGTCAGACATCGTATTTCTTCTTGCTGATCACTTGTTATCTCTGACTGTTGTCAAACAAAAGATATGGGCTAAATTCATTACAGTAAGAGAATCTTCCAGAGACGGGTCAATTTATGGCCATGATGACTGTAACTAAAATTCTACATGTTTGCATATCTCTCCTTACCAGTGTATAGTTCATGCCACTTTGGTGTATTCTTCTTTTTCCGCATTGCTTTAATTAGTCTTCCTGAGGGATCGACATTGCCCTATTACATGTGATTGTCCCTTTCTCTTTCCTGGTGTTTAAAAAAAAAGTGAAAGTATAAACCAACCATGATACCTTTTGATGAATACAGAACAAAATAGTGGAACTGCAGGTGCTTATGAATCAGTGACATTTTGTTGTGTATAAAAACCCCAAAGAGTTGAACTGAAAAACCCAGAGGCCTATTTAGCACTATTAAAAATATTTTAAGAGTGGAAATAAGGAACGTTAAGTTAAATATTGAGGAGTTGGAGAATATAAACTAAGAGTACTGCTCCTCTACCTTTGGTTGCATTGCCTATACTGACATCATTTTTTTCCCATTCAAAATAATTGTGACTGCCCCAAACTGAGCATTTCATTATAATTTCTCACCCTATTTTTTTCTCCACTTGAACTTTTCTACACTCCTAACTAGACACTCCTCATACAGGGGAACTAGATGATTTTTTTCATTGGGGAAGTTTCTAACCAGTAATTTGCCTGCTAAAAGGCACTGTTACTGCAGTAAAAAAAGGAATCTTTTCTTGCTCTGTGTAGGTTATACTTAAGGCTGAGCTAAAAATCTAAGAAGATTGACTTTAAGGGCTGACTTTCTTATTCAAAACTAAACTGTTTGCTCAGTTAATATATGGGAAACCGTATATTTTTTTTTCTTAGCAACTCTCTCCATGCTAGAACGATGACAATTTGACACGAGGAAGACTGCACATGTGTGTCCATAATAGAGACTGAGAAGGAAGGCATCCTGCCTGTTCAGACAGGGAGATCCACTCTCCAGGCTGCATAAGCAGCATGAAGAGTAGTGCCATAAAATACGTAAGGTCACAGGGCGGACAGCTTGGGGCATTTGGAGAACAGCTATCTGAGCCATGGTGTGCGCAGGGAAGCAGCTCCTCATGCCATGAGGATAAACCTGTGGACTGCACACTACCATGTCGCTGTTTTATCACTGATGGAAGACATGTAACCAAGGCACGGGCGCATACAGCTCCAGCAAACCTCTTTACACTTAGACAATGGCTCCCGCTGTATTGTCTCCAGCAGCTGGTTTAGAATCTTATTCATTTGCGTCACACAAATTAGTGAGATTCGTGCACTCTGACCTGCTGCTCCAAATGTAACTGCCCTGCCTGATCCCCATCCACCCTCACGTTGGTTAGCGACTTCACCTCCTGTGACTATGTCTGCCAGATGCTACCGGTTGTCTCTCATTGACCCGCAGATGGCTGGGGAGCCGGAGAAATCCCAGGAGACGCTGCACTGAAAGATTCATTCTCCAGCTGCGGCCAAGCATTGTGGTCCCTCTGCCAGGATGTGACTTGCCGCCATCGGCGCACCGGGGACATCCCGCCTCGCCGGCTGAACAAAGGCACCTCACGGGGCACATCCCCGGCAGGCACCAAGGGCTCTTCCCGCACAAAACCGGCCTCTTCCACTGCCGCAGCACCGGGGGGAGAAAAAAGGGGCTCGGGCGGAAGGCGGCCATTCCTGCTCTCGTCAGAGCGCCGCTGCGCCTGGAGGCAGCAGGCGGCGGCGGGCAGCCTTGGAGCTGCCTCTGCTGCAGAACCCCAGGGGGGCCTGGCGGGGAGGTTCCCCTGTA